TTATTCGAGCATTGTATCTTTTGAATTAATGGATAAAAATATATAAAAATCGTATCAATCGATAGTTTACATTATAAGGATGACGAATTTACCATAATATGAATTTTGATACATGTGATTATAACACTTTATTCTTCCAATGGGACGAAATTTGTGGATCACACAAAGTGTTGTTCCGTGCGGGAATCGAACCCGCGACACGTTGCACAGCAACCGGTTGTAACCAGCCAATGCACCAACCGTGCAGTCTTTAATAACAAACAGGCGTTTTATTTTACAGTATTTTATATCTGAAATTAAAAAAAATACTACTTATCCAAAACTGATATTGATAGATATATCAATATAATATGCATATTTTTACTATAGGTACTGATTATATTTATTATTAAATGCAAAAATTCTAATTACATGTATTAAAATAAAAATACCAATTAATTTACATTAGGTACATTACCTAAATACCAAACAACATTATTAATTACTTTAATTGAATTCGAAGTAAAACTTGAACTAAATTAACCTTTAGGAGCATGATCTTAAAAATCGATACATTTCGTAAAAACCAATTACTGCATGCAAGTTCACTTGTGGAATATTAAATACGATTATAAATCGATAAATACGTTTATTATTTAGTCGATAATATTTGGCAAAACTTAATTAATCACGATTCGGTTCACTATCACTGCGATCATCGGAAGCCGATCTATATTGTAAGGTCATGTTAGTGTAGGGTGACCGAGCGATTCGATGGTGTCTAAGGACATGACAGGAGATTTATTTCGATATGTTTTACAAAAAAAATTAAGGGAGTTAGGAAAAGAAAACTATGGAAACTAAACGTTTTTTCTTCTCCTCTTATAATATTATCTTCTGATTCACTTCGTTGCGGGAACCAAAACAGTTACTCATGTCCCTGGGACGCGCAGGACTTTAGTGTTCCGGTGTTTTCATGGTTGTATCTACAGTAGGCTTACAGGAGTTGCAGCGGTTTTGGGAGGTAGTGGCGGGCTTGTCCCATATATAAAAAAAATTAAACTAATTTAATCAGTTTTAATTAAATGACAGTGGGAATTATTTTTTTTGTGGCTTATTTGTATATTTCTATTTCTATTTAAACCACTATGATCACTCAGCTTTTATTAATAACTAGTGGACCCACAAATGTTCAGCGCATCTGAACTTTCTAATAAACCAAACAAAAAATGAATTAGCAAAATCTGTTCAGATGTTCTCGAGATTCGCGCTTAGCATAGCAACACATTCAGCGATTTATTTTTATATTATCGAAGATATCGTTCATAATAGTGCCAATGTACATACACTTACAAAAATTCATAGTATCTGACAAATGTATCCAATTTGTAAATGTCGCCCTTGATACACGTAACACCAGATCTAATATTACATTTACACTTTCCATTCCATTCCAGTTGATATACTTGCTTTTGACATAATATACATTTACAATAGTAACAATACACCATAGGTTACAAGACAAAGATATCATGTTATAAAAAAAACAAAGCCTAAGACAAAAAAACTGGGCTATATTTGTTACTCAACAATGTGGTGTATCTTTTTATTATAACGCTATCGAAATCTCTATTGACTTCCCACCACGGTGCTCTACTCTTGGACTCTTACCGGCTGAAACCACCGCGGTGTTCCTCCTCTACCTATGACCGTGTCCCGGGACGCCCTTGAGGATTCACCGCATCTAGCAGGCCTCGACATACCGCTATAAGCCTCGCCACGTAGCAGCCCTTGGAGGCAGCGATATCCTTCCTCGAGTATCACGCCTTTTATCCCGAAGGGGTAGGCAGAGGTGCATATTATGCTACTGTACAATGAAACACCCACTTTTCACTATTTATGTTATGAGTCCCATGTAATAGGGGATGGGCCTATTGCCATATACCGGACACAATTCCAGACTCCGAGCAGTAGCTCGGGTTGGGTAATAATTTGCCCGACCCGGGAATCGAACCCGAGACCCCTTGCCCGGCAGTCGCACTTGCGACCACTCGTCCAACGAGGCAGACCTTCAATAAAATGTTTATTAAACAGATTTATACAAAAACATTGAAATAATATTTTATTTATGAACCCCATAATTATTAAACAATCACCATTATTCACTATTGTTATATAATTACCGCGTAATTTGTTTAAAAGACATAATATATCACATTTCAATTATGTAACAAAATTATTGTGTTTTATTATGTGTTTGAACTTGATTTATAAACGTCTAATAATAAATAACTTTGTCCTCCAAATTAAATTAAATAATTGTAGTGTTTACTTGAATTATTATTCTCACATCACAAAATTATATACATATATACCTACATTTATATAATTTTATGGACTATAAAATCTTCAATATAATTTATTCAGTTGTTGAGTATTGATTTATCGTTATTAATATGAATTATTCAAATGAAAAACGTGTATGACGAATTATTTTTGTAAATGAACTGTAAAGTTGACTGTTAGTGAATGCCACTAGGCAGTAAGTCCGCGATTGTAGAGGTATACAAGAAATATAAATAAATAAATAAATAAATAAATAAATAAATAAATAAATAAATAAATAAATAAATAAATAAATAAATAAATAAATAAATAAATAAATAAATAAATAAATAAATAAATAAATAAATAAATAAATAAATAAATAAATAAATAAATAAATAAATAAATAAATAAATAAATAAATAAATAAAGTAGATGGATAAATGAAATGCCTTAATACTATAATTGTTACTTTAAGAATTATTATACAATTACCTTCTGGAATCGAATTAGGCATATTTTATTTAATTATTTTTTTAATCAAGGGGACTCGGGTTCGATTTCCGTATCGGTCAAAGTAATACTGGGTTTTTAAAAAAAACTTAGTTGTAGCACGGAGTCTGGTATTATGGCAATAGGCTCACCCCCTATTACATGGGACTCATAACATAAATAGTGAAAACTGGGCGTTACATTGTACAGTGGCATTCAGTGCCTTAATGTACACCTCTGCCTACCTCTTCGGGAATAAAAAGCGTGAGGTTATATTGTATGTATTTTTTTAATCATGATATAACGCTTCAAAATTATCGTAATATGTTCTCAAACTTTGGATATAACCTCTTTCAACTAATTATTTCAATCGAAAAATAAAATTCACCTTCCACAGTTCCACGTGACGTTTTATTATATTTTTTCTAAAATGCTCATAAACATGTACGTTGCTGTCTTCTTCCAAAACTACCAACATTACAAAAAAAAACCTGTCAAGATATAAATTGAAAATTGTAGAAATCATGAATAAAAAAAATAAAAAAAAACAAAATATCATAGACACCCTACAAGAGAAGCTCTCATTGGAATTCGTATACGGGCAAGGTCGAGTATTGATGCGCGATCGAGACTAAGTGTCCGTCCGTATGTACGTATGTATGTACAGTAATACGGCCATTCAAATAGGATTTGTATGTCAAGCTCACTATGTAAGAGGTAACCAATATTGAGCTTTTGATTTTGAGCTTTTGGAACATAATACTCAAAACTATTGAGAAAACTATTCTGACAACGTTTTCTTTTTTATAATATACTGTAGTATTTATGCAGTAGGTATAAGTAGGTATTGGTTTGGCAGTATATATTATACTAAGTTTTACCAGCGGCTTCGCTCGCGTCACAAAAGGATAAAAGTAGCCTATGTGACATATACAAATACACATAGCGCCATCTATGCCAATTCTTTTGTTGTCCCTAGGGAATATCAAAATTTTCCGGGATAAAAAGTACCCTATTATTTAATCCAGACTAGGTACTAACTTTACGTCTGCAAAAATTCAAAGCAATCGGTTTAGTAGTTACGGCGTGAAAGTGGAACAAACAAACAAACAACTAAACTGACTTTCCGATTTATAATATTAGTAAGGATTGTATTAATATATTTATTCTATAGGTATTTATGTGTGTAGTATACATATTACATAACATTTTTTTTTTAATTGTGTTCTGGCTTCGCATCAACCACTTCATTTCTCTGCACTTCCCTATGGTTGACTGTAAGAGAATGCCTTATGGCATTCAGTCCGCCATTCACTGTTGTATATTGTAAAGAAGAAATAAATAAATAATATATGAAATTAGTTTATTTTTGTTACTTAGCGCCTAGCGAAGGAGGATGAACAAAACCCAGTATTTTGTCTCAAAGCTGAGTTCTACTATATTCTAAGCTTTTTTACTGTAAATATATTTACCGTGTTACTCAGAAGGAACTGTTCTATTTAGACTACTCAGATGCGGAATGTTTCCCATGCTATGCGTGTTAATGATGACCACTTTCTAATCTTTCTCCTCCAACCCCAGAGGTTTTCTCTATTACAAAATAAAACTTTAAGTTTTAGTAAACGCAAAAGTTACTCTTGAGCATGCCACTTGAAATTAAGTTTTAAGAAAAGATTTCTTACATTTGAAGCTATTTAACAGTATTAAAAAATGGAGTTTCTTGCTCGTTCTTCTCCATTCGAATCTACTTTTTGGAATGAGCACCTAGCTTCACCTAGTTTCACTGACGGACTGACTGACAGACTATTATTTATTTTGTATTTGTTGACGTTTCAAAAGTACCAAACTATGGTTTAATTGAAATAAATGCTTTGACTTTGACTTTGAATCAAACGTAAATAACAATGGATTAGTAAAACCATTTTATAATTTATACAACAATGTAAAAGAAATAAAATAAAGATAAACAAGATAAATTTTTCAGCAATACAAAGTACACTAAGCAAGCTTTACTAACTACAATAACATTAACTGATTCGCAAGACCCATCACATAAACCCATCCTCAACAATTAGACAAGTCCATCCATGAGCGTATCATAATATTGTTATTATGAAATATCGACCACGACTTAACGATGAAGTAGATCGACCCACACCCACCTATATATACTGCACTGATACTGAGAGGTTATCAGTTACAAACACAGCTTCTGAGTAGCAAGTTCATTCATTAAAACAATACAAAAAAACGAATATGAAATTGGTAAGGGATTCAAAGCTACTGAGATTAATTTTGGGACTAATGTTCAATATTAATTATTCAATGAATTTTCATACATTTTGAGTAATTTAAATAACAAGGATTGAATTAATAACAAACATTCTGAAATATCAGTTACTGTAAACATTAGAATATCTCATAATAAAGTTTTCTATTTTCAGTTCATCGTTTTAGCAGCAGTGGCGTTAGCCCAAGGCGCCAAACTAGACAGGACCTACCTCCCACCTAACGCTCAGGCTTCCGCAGGATCTGCTTTCCTCGAGGCTCCTCGTCAGTCCAATGGATTCCAGGATCAATCTGGTGCTTTCTCCAACAATGGATTTGCCAACTCTAACGTCCAAAACGGAGCTTACTCAGGCTTTGAAGCCCGTCCCGTGGAGCGCGCTCAGGCCGCCTTTGAGAGGAACGCTGCTATCCTTCGTCAGGACAACTCCAATGATGGAGAGACTTACGCGTATGCTTATGAGACTGAGAACGGTATCTCTGGCGAGGAGAACGGAGTGGCAACCAACGGAGTGCAGGCTCAGGGCAGCTACTCCTACACTGGGGATGATGGCAAGGTTTACTCTGTGAGGTGAGACAATCTTATCAAAAAAGTGTTTGTGATGATCAATTAGTGAGTGAGTTATGTGTACAGTGTGCAGTAAAAGCTTACAGAGAACAATGCAAATTCTTAGTGTCAGAAATAAACTTGCTTTAAACCTTCACAGGTACACCGCTGATGAGAACGGTTTCCAGCCCCAGGGCGACCATCTCCCCACTCCTCCTCCAGTCCCCGCTGAAATTCTGAAAGCTTTGGAACAGAACGCTCGTGATGAGGCTGCTGGCATCTACGATGACGGTGAGACAAATTTACAAATGATTTTAGCAAATCAACTATTTTAGACCAAAGACGTAACCTATTTTCTTTATTTATTAGGCTCTTACAGCGATGCTAAATATGCTGACGACAGCCAACAGCAGTACTACGACAGCAACGCCCAAGCTATCAACTACAACAACGCGCCATCCAACAATTACAACGCTCAGTCCAACAACTACAACGCTCAGTCCAATAACTACAATGCCCAGTCCAACTACAACTCCGCTCAATCCAACTACAACTCCGCTCAATCCAACTACAACTCCGCCCAGTCCAACTACAATGCTCAATCCAACTACAACAACGCTGACGCTGTCATCACCACCAGTGCTTTGATCCGCAACGACGCTTCTGGGAGCAGCAGCAACGTCGCTGGTACCCAGAAGGCTTACCTTCCTCCCTTCGCTCAGGCCAACACTGACGCCATTGTTACCAACAATGCTCTCCTTCGTAGCGACGCCGCTGAAAGCAGTAGCTCCGTTTCTGGAATCCAGAAGGCGTACCTCCCACCCTTTGGCCAACGCCAGAGGAATGGTGCAAGGCCATCCTTCAACGCTAGAGACGGCTACCGTTATTAGAGGCTATTGATAAGAATAATTATTGATTAATATAAACGACTTATTAAATAATGTATTTATAACGATGAATTTTGCTTTTTATTTGTATGATGTGATTTTCGAATATCTTGGTTGCCTACATCCTTTTTGAGCTGAAAAACGCATTTCAAAAACGGTTGCAGTATGTTATATTAAAGCGTGTAATTGCGATTACGATTTCTTGTACCCTTCATTTTTTATATTTGATGGGCCGACGTTTGACCACTATCTTGCCTGGCGGTAAGCAATGATGCGGTCTACGATGGAGCACGTCGTCTCATAAGCAACATATTCACTCGGGCCTTGAAGACACTCAGGAAGGAAGAACCCTTTAGGAAATACAGACAATCATTCAAGAGAATCAGTTGATAAAATCTAAATTTTTATTGTAATGAATGTTGAATGTCTCAGAATTTTAATTGTACCTGAAATAGCGAATTTTGTGAGGCAAAGTCGGTGACAGTTTTATTAAATTCGATAGTGAGGTTTATAGGCGTTGTGTTCTTTTTTCTTCGAACAATAATTCTGCTATATGGAGTATAGACCATACCAATAAGAATAGCGACCATTTTGTTTATGAGTCGGTACTCAAGTTATGGTGTAACTAACATGATTTAGTTTTATATGTGGCGACGCATGCCACATGTCAACGGATGACGTCATAAGAATCCTACATCGCACATGCAAAAGTTTACAAGCGAATAAACACGGATAAGAAAATCCCAACGAACAACTGTTGGGCAGAAAGCCCGCCAGGCACGATCACCTCGCCTGGTCGGAGGATCCTCCTTTTCCGATCTTAGGGAACTATACTCTCTGTTCCCTAAAGTGGTGACCCCGACGTGATTGGAAGCAACCTTCACTTCACGGAGCTGATCAGCACCGTCATCCGTATCGCCATCCCTCTCATTCATCACTTCTCCGCTGAGCGGTAACCAAGTCGCAGCCAACCAGCATCCTCGGCCTCATCAGGGACCACCATTACCTGCAACGAAGTTGTGCAGCCTGGTTCTTCCCTACGGCCTCACCAGCGTCTAGGCACAGCACTTCTGCACACGGTTCTGAAGGACATCTCCTCCCGTCAACGCAGATGCCGGCCACTACGCACCTACCCTCGCAGCATCTCTTCCCCGACCCACCGTGGGACACTGCGAACGCATCTCTCCGACTCACTGGAGTTTCACCCTGCACCGCTGACCCGACTCACTGGGCACTCAGCGGCACGGTTCCGACCCACTGGAACTAGGGACGTTCTACACTGGCTCTGGCACCACTCATCTCAAGCATCGACAGCAGTCTCAGCGGGATCGACCTCCGGTCTTGGGAGGGAGTGATGTGGCGACGCATGCCACATGTCAACGGATGACGTCATAAGAATCCTACATCGCACATGCAAAAGTTTACAAGCGAATAAACACGGATAAGAAAATCCCAACGAACAACTGTTGGGCAGAAAGCCCGCCAGGCACGATCACCTCGCCTGGTCGGAGGATCCTCCTTTTCCGATCTTAGGGAACTATACTCACTGTTCCCTAAAATAGACATTTTAGTATTGAGGCAGATTCTGAATCGAATTGAATTTCCGTGGGGAAATTGTATAGGCGAATTAAATTCAAAGATATTTGATTGTGAATTATCAAAGACGCTTGCTTTGTGCATAGTTTTATACATACATAACTTCACGCCTGTCTCCATGAGAGACTATGGGATGAGAGTAGATGGTGATAGATAGAGAGGTAGATGAGACTATGGAACGCCACTTGCTACGATTAGAACTGATTATAATTAAAATAATGTTATTGTTGTAATTAAATGGAAAAAAGTATAATTGATACAAATCTTATGTGCACAAAGACAATATTTTGGAGAATCTTAATTCTGCAATCGAAGGCTTTTTTCGTCTTACGATTATTATGTTAATAACATATTGACTCGTAAAATATATTTGCTAAATAATTCGAGTTTATTTGGTTTCCATGGGCGGCGCTGATCGCTTACCATCATCAGGTGATCAGTCTGCTCGTTTGCCTAATATTTCATAAAATATGTCACAATAGCATTCAATCCAATCTTTTTTCGATCTGTCAAAACGACAGTTCGAAAAAAGTATTGAATTTGACTAGTTGGCAAGTACTCAATTAAAAGAAGTTACTTAAATCAAAATTAAAAACAAAGTAAAATTAATGTATTTATACACATATTACATACATACTTATCATGCCATGCTCACGGCTGCCTCCCATGGGATAGGCAAAGAGTATTGAATGCCAATTGCTACGTAAAACTAATGTAATTTTACCATTTCCCGAAGGAATTCATTAAAGTGTGTCTTTATAACTCAAATTACTCAATCAAATCAAAAAACAATTATGCAATGTTAAGTAATTCTATTTCTATAAATATAAGAATTAAAATAGAAGATCAACTTTTTCTAAAACATGTCGTATAATATAATTATCTGTAGACCCCGTGGTAATAATGAGAAATAAAAAATTACATGCCTCCTTGACTGCCTCGTTGGCCGAGTGGTCGTAAGTGCGACTTCCGGACAAGGGGTCTCGGGTTCGATTCCCGGGTCGGGCAAAGTATTACTGGGTTTTTAAATATTCTCAGTAGTAGCACGGAGTCTGGAATTGTGCCCGGTATATGGCAATAGGCTCACCCCCTATTACATGGGACTCATAATCATAACATTAATAGTGAAAAGTGGGTGTTACATTATACAGTGGTATAATGTGCACCTCTGCCTACCCCTTCGGGGATAAATGGCGTGATGTTATGTATGTATGTGTAAAAAATTACATAACCAGTAAAGAAAGAAAGAAAAAACACATTCGGCACATTACACGCCCAGAGATGTAGACAAAAAAGTAACCCAAAAACAATCACTGTTGCATTGACACCATGGGTTGACCGACCAATTGCACTACCGCGATGTCTATAGGGACAAACCGGAATACTACACTAAGGTTGATTTGTTCACCGACAATCACTGGACACCCAAACTGACACCTCCATTCTCCATACAACTATAGAAGTACATTCTGTTATTTCTAAGACATAATCTTACAACCATGATGTCTTTGAAATAGGTCTCTTAACCCTGCAGCTGATCCTTCAAGGATTTTCAAAAGAATTCCAAATGACCTTGCTACGAAGCACATCAAGCTACTGGATCTCTACACGCCAGTCAACTGCTCAAGGTGAACTAATGTTTCCGGCAATTGCGTTACAGTTATTGACCCATCTGCTTTTTGCGCGCATCACGAATTGGAAATTAAAAACCACATGTACATTAGGCAAGGCACATTTATTTTTATTGGGTCCCACAAATATTCACTTGAAGGACTTAAAGTATGGAGAAATAGATTGGTATTTTATGAATTTATTGGTTACAAGGCGCAGTTAAAATTATAAAACATAGCATAACATTACGCCTTTTATCTCTGAAGGGGTAGGCAGAGGTGCACATTATGCCACTGTACAATGTAACACCCACTTTTCACTATAGTTATTTATGTTATGAGTCCCATGTAATAGGGGGTGAGACTATTACCATATACCGGGCACAATTCCAGACCGTGCTACAACAGGTAAATTAAAAAAAAATGACGTATTGTCAAAAGTCCATTACAGGCAATTGGATTAAAGGTGTGTTACTAACTAGAATATAGATTAGAGTCTTCAATAGACATCTGTTTAATAAATAATGCAACAAATCATGTTTGAGTTGTGGTTAAATCTATATTAAACATGACCCATGTTACGTAAAAATACAATCACCTATGAACCTGCACTAAAGTGCGTACAATCTAAATGTAATCTGATAGGCTACCACAAAGCAACAGATCATATAATACGGATGAAAAATATGCCTGCAATTACATAAAAAATATACGTATCATATAATTTGCATAAGCATAAGTACCACTTCATAATCCCACCTTCCTAATGCTCAAACTTTCTTACAGTGTGACCACACCTAAGGTCAGCCACAACTAAACAAGTTCATCCTCGAGCATCGCATGCTCATTAAGAAACATTGGCCGCTACTTACGATGTAATTGATCGATTCGCACCTCACTATAAATACTGTGATAACGATACTGGGTTATCAGTTGCACTCACAGCTTCTGGGTAGCAAGTTCTGTACAACACAAGAACACAAAATGAAACTGGTGAGGTTCTGTGTATAGCAATTAATTACGTTTTAATTGAGAATACTTTCATGACTTGGGTATATTTTTTCAGTTCATCGTCTTAGCCGCTGTTGCTTTGGCCCAGGCCGCCAAACTGGACAGGACCTACCTCCCACCTAACGCTCAGGCTTCAGCAGGATCTGCTTTCCTGGATGCTCCTCGCCAGTCCAACGGATTCCAGGGTCAAACTGGTGCCTTCTCATCCAGCGCCCAAAGCGGCGCTTACTCAGGCTTCGAAGCTCGTCCCGTGGAGCGCGCTCAGGCTGCCTTCGAGAGGAACGCTGCCATCCTTCGTCAAGACAACTCCAATGATGGAGAGACTTACGCGTATGCTTATGAGACTGAGAACGGTATCTCCGGCGAGGAGAACGGAGTGGCGACCAACGGAGTGCAGGCTCAGGGCAGCTACTCCTACACTGGGGATGATGGCAAGGTCTACTCTGTGAGGTAAACATTACAAATTGATTAATCATCTTTGTATAATTTTGTGACGCTGATAACACTAACGTCTTTTGTCACTTCTACAGGTACATCGCTGATGAGAACGGTTTCCAACCCCAAGGTGACCATCTTCCCACTCCTCACCCCATCCCTGAAGAGATCCTGAAGGCTCTGGAGCAGAACGCTCGCGATGAGGCCGCTGGCATTTTTGATGACGGTGAGCTATTGCTCCAAATAAATTTCCACTATCTGTAATTGTATATCATGGAATAATTACTAATTACAATACTATTTTTCTATTTGCAGGATCTTACAGCGAGGCTAAATACGATAGCAACTCCCAGCAAACTTACTACGACAGCAACGCTCAAGCGATAAACTTCAACAAAGCTGACGCTGTTGTTACCAACTCCGCTGGTCTTCGCAATGATGCTCCCTTCGTTCAACGCAACAACCAGAGGAGTGGAGTGCAACAAACCGCCTTTAACAGCAACGCTCGTGCTGCCCAAAGCTCCAGCTCCAGCTCTGCTGCTGGAGTCCAGAAAACGTACCTCCCGCCTTTCGCGCAGAAGGCTGGAGCGAGACAATCCTCCTTCGACGCTAGAGCCGGCTACCGATACTAGAGACTGATGTAAATTGTTGTACATATCGGATTGTTATTAAATAAAATATTTATTTGAACACAATTTCTGTTGATTAATTATTAAATTCCTGTGCTTCATTTGGAGTATACACATGACTGCCAAGGTCTAGAAAGACGTACTATGATATCAAGTATAATGTAGAGTAAGTTATTTATTAATCATATAGATTCAATGACAATGATGTTTAAAATACACGAAATTTTAAAAAAATCGAATAATATGAAGTTAGCATGTCATTGAAATAGAAGAAAGAATAAGTTCCATAAACATACGTGATATGAAACTTTGAACAGTATAATCTTTTACCTACTCAGAGTACCTATCACCCCTACAAATGCCTTAACTGATAATCGAACAAGTGGATCGGTAAACCTATGACCCTAAGTCGCAGGCCACACTACCGCTAGTCGCACCAACATAGCTGCCTCCGATCAACCCGCGTATTTGTTATTCCCGCTCTTCGTAGACCCAAGACGCGTTGAGCCAGCGTAACCATCGATTAAATCATTGACACTGATTTTGAAATATTTTAAGTTAAACTTGTGTCAAATCAATGCAATGATTCTTCTATTCATTTGTTTAACTACTGACAAGGCGATAAGGCCAGTCTATGAATCTATTTATTTCTATATTTTTTGGTTGTTCAGTAATCAGAGGACCAACTGTGTGGTGATGGGAGTAAATATTTCTACCCACCTGTTCCCGCGGGTGTACCAAGAAGCTACTTATGGAACAACAACAATAGTTACCTATGTAGAAGATGCCCATAACACAAGTTGAGACTCATTGAATGGTGACTTAGCGAATTGCATAACACAACTTGAGACTCATTGAATGGTATAACTTAGCGAATTACAATAACACAGTTTTTATAATTAAGATGTTTCTTTTTTATCTCACAAGTGATAAGAGTAATTTCTAGTTTACGTGTAAGTCTTTTGCAGCAGGAAATATATACAACAAACAAATGATTTCAGTAATAGTTTCTATCATAGATCTACTCAAATTTTCATTTGCATTTGAACATGACCTGCATTATATTAATAAAAAAACTATTAATTATGTTTTTTACTAGCTACTTCCGCACGGTTTCACACGCTCTGCTCAGCGCTTATTGGTCGTAGCGTGATGTTTTATAGCTTATAGCTATCCACGATAAATGCGCTATCCAATACAAAAAGAATTATTCATATCAGGCTTGTAGTTACGGAGATTAGCGCGTTCAAACAAACAAACAAAAAAAAACAAACTCTTCCGCTTTATATAATTAGTATAAGATTATTACACGTCTTCGGAAAGGGATATGGAATGATGAGCACAAGTGATGAGAATATCTCACATCGAGATGATCATGAAGTATTTAAATTATTAAATAAATAGTTGACAGAAAGTCCTCCACAAGACAAATATTGCGTGTACTTTCTATATAGCACGCACTATAAATTAGCTAATTCTCTATAGAACCACAGTAAAAATATATCACAGTGTAAACAAAATATACTTTACATTCAGGGATGTTTCAGATATTAGTAGTAGAAGCAATTCAATTTATCTAGCCTGCCTGTTATGTAACCACAAACTGCAATATAAACCAAACAGTATTTTTACACGCCTTAATACTACATCCACACAAATACTCATTTCCACTAACATTGGGTAAATGCTTTATTTATTAAATGTAATGAATGTAAGTAATTGAGAACAAGTATACCGCTTCGATGCTCTGACAATTCTGTTTTAATTGATTTTATCATATTCTCCATAACGGAGACTGAATATGAGTAAGAGAGAAGACTCACGCTTATAACATAACATAACATCACGCCTTTTTATCCCCGAAGGGGTAGGCAGAGGTGCACATTCCCACCGTGCAATGTAACACCCACTTTTCACTATTGAGGTTATGAGACCCATGTAATAGGGGGTGAGCTTATTGCCATATACTGGGCACATTTCCAGACTCCGTGCTACTACTGAATTTTTTTTTAACCCAGTAATACTTTGCCCGACCCGGGAATCGAACCCGAGACCCCTTGCCCGGCAGTCGCACTTGCGACCACTCGACCAACGAGGCAGTCACCAACGAGACCAACGAGCTTATAACATGCGGAGCTTATTTAGAGAAATAAATCGTATATCACTCGTAGGAATTCTTTTCCACCAGAGACGTTTGCTACGTTGCACTATGAAATAAAGTAAAATAAATATTCATTGGTGCACACTGCACTGTCAATAGTGATTCTACTAAGATAATAATAATACGTTTTTTTTTCACGAAAGAATGCCTTCTATGGATTTCCACCGGTACAGAAGGACACAGTGAGTGCTACTTCCCTCACTGCACTGCCCTCACTGCGTGCCTAATATTAATCGGTCGTATGAATGGAATGCAAGTCCATAGCTTATTATAAGCTCTTGACTATTTCAGCTGCGTATATTCTTCGCGCAACAATGTAACGCCACGGCGAAGCAACTTGAATGAAAAAAGATTGTTTATTTGTAAAATAAAAACCATATTTTTTTTGAACCATTCCACTGCATAGTGTCAGTGAAAATTGTCAAGTCGTTTCACAGCACAGCTTCTACGCAGCACACCTACATAGGACATTTATTTATTTAAATTAAAATAGTTTAATATTACAGTCATTAAACCAAGGCGTTGTACATTTCAAATGATTATAAAGAAATGAAGGAAAAGTCCTTAAATGACAAATTGTAAAGATGGAAGAGAAATATATAAAATAATAAATAGGAATAAGAAAAACCTTACAAACTATGACACGTTTTAACAGCCAAATAACCAAAATACACAACAGACATTATTACAACACAATATAAATTATATTACCGGTGGAAAAACAGTCTATATTTTTTGTGATTTCATCGGATCATGACAGTAGTATACCTGATTTCAAGTCCTTTCAGTTGATTAGCCCTGTGTAATACAAAAACCATTATAGTATAGTTTGGATATTAATTATCCTACTTGATTATCAAGTTCTATAAATTAAAACACATTAGCATCTAATACCAATGGGCAAGAATAAGCAAGCTCCAATTTACAAATTCCACCTTCCTTTAAAGCTTTCTTACAGTGTGACCACACCTAAGGTCAGCCACAACTAAACAAGTTCATCCTCGAGCATCGCATGCTCATTAAGAAACATTGGCCGCTACTTACGATGTAATTGATCGATTCGCACCTCACTATAAATACTGTGATAACGATACTGGGTTATCAGTTGCACTCACAGCTTCTGGGTAGCAAGTTCTGTACAACACAAGAACACAAAATGAAACTGGTGAGATTTTGTGTGAAGCAAGTAATTACGTTTTAATTGAGAATACTTTCATAACATGGGTATATTTTTTCAGTTCATCGTCTTAGCCGCTGTTGCTTTGGCCCAGGCCGCCAAACTGGACAGGACCTACCTCCCACCTAACGCTCAGGCTTCTTCAGGATCTGCTTACCTGGATGCGCCTCGCCAGTCCAACGGATTCCAGGGTCAAACTGGTGCCTTCTCATCCAGCGCCCAAAGCGGCGCTTACTCAGGCTTCGAAGCCCGTCCCGTGGAGCGCGCTCAGACTGCCTTTGAAAGGAACGCTGCTATCCTTCGTCAGGACAATTCCAATGATGGAGAGACTTACGCGTATGCTTATGAGACTGAGAACGGTATCTCCGGCGAAGAGAACGGAGTGGCGACCAACGGAGTGCAGGCTCAGGGCAGCTACTCCTACACTGGGGATGATGGCAAGGTCTACTCTGTTAGGTAAACAATAGAAATTGCTTCTACAATATTGAACTTTCTACAATTTCGTTTTTGTGGTAACTTTAACATCTATTATCACTTCTACAGGTACACCGCTGATGAGAACGGTTTCCAACCCCAAGGTGACCATCTCCCCACTCCTCACCCCATCCCTGAAGAGATCTTGAAGGCTCTGGAGCAGAATGCTCGCGATGAGGCCGCTGGCATCTTTGATGACGGTGAGCTATTGCTCCAAATAAATTACCACCATCTATAATTTTATATCATTTAATAATTACTGATTACAATACTATTTTTCTATTTGCAGGATCTTACAGCGAGGCTAAATACGATAGCAACTCCCAGCAAACTTACTACGACAGCAACGCTCAAGTGATAAACTTCAACAAGGCTGACGCTGTTGTTACCAACTCCGCTGGTCTTCGCAATGATGCTCCCTTCGTTCAACGCAACAACCAGAGGAGTGGAGTGCAACAAACCGCCTTTAACAGCAACGCTCGTGCTGCCCAAAGCTCCAACTCCAGCACTGCTGCTGGAGTCCAGAAAACGTACCTCCCGCCCTTCGCGCAGAAGGCTGGAGCGAGACAATCCTCCTTCGACGCTAGAGCCGGCTACCGATACTAGAGACTGATGTAAATTGTTGTTCATATCGGATTGTTATTCAATAAAATATTTATTTGAACACAATTTCTGTTGATTAATTATTAAATTCCTGTGCTTCATTTGGAGTATACACATGACTGCCAAGTTCTAGAAAGACGTACTATGATATCAAGTATAATGTAGAGTAAGTTATTTATTAATTACATAAATGCAATGGTGTTAAAATACACGAATTGTAAAAAAAATCGAATAATATGAAGTTAGCATGTCATTGAAATAAAAGAAAGAATAAGTTCCATAAACAAAACGTGATATGAAACTCTAAACAGTATAATCTTCTACCTACTCAGAGTACCTACTACCCCTACAAATGCCATTAACCGATAATCGAATAAGTGGATAGGTAAACCTATGACCCTAAGTTGCAGGCCACACTGCTAGTCGCACCAATATAGCCATAGTATAAAGAAAAGGGAAGTAGGCCATCTTCTTCCCAATCCGCTATATAATTGCCTACTGTCTTAGGGTTGTCAATTTTGGTTTAGGCGCAGCTTACATACCAAGATTGTTTACCTTTAGTTAACCACATAAATCGATAGACCATAGTCAATTACTTATTTTAAATTACGATTTTATAACTGTAATTAGGTAGGTACTTAGTTACTAAACATACCTACAATACTGAGAAATCAACATAACCATAACTAAACGTAAACAAAACAATAGGCGACAATAGCGGCAAATCAATTACCAGATCAAAAGTACCTACTTAATACATTCTAGTACGAAATTGGGCCTACCTACTTCCTATGTGATACTGTTAGGAAACTAACACAAACAAAAAATAAGTAAGTAGGTATCTCATCAGCAAGTACAAATTATATTATGCTAGAATAAGTGACTAGCTTATCTTTTCTGTTCAATAGGTAATCTGAACAGAGACAGTTCTGGCATCGATGAATTATTAAGACACCCAAACACACAGCAATACGTTCTTCTACGATTATCAGACATTTTTTATTCATTTAACAGTGCCGAAAAGTGATGCGCGCGCGAACCTCGTGCAGTGTTAGCCCTGCCTGGCGCACTGAGAAACGGGTCGGGATTTTGTTAAAGTTGCATAGATACTATGGCGCACACATATAAGCCGCGCGCGGTGCATTTGTATAAAGATAACCTTCTTCCCTTTTCTTTATACTATGATATAGCTGCCTCCGATCAACCCGCGTGATTGTTTTTCCCGCTCATCGCAGAGACACGTCGCGCCAGCGTAACCATCTATTAAAGCATTGACACTGGCTTTTGATAAATTAAGTTCAATTTTGAAGGCGATAAGGTCAGTCTTTGAATCTATTTATTTCTATAACTTTTGGTTGTTCGGTTATCAGAGTACCAACTGTGTGGTGATGGGAGTAAATATTTACACCCACATGTTCCCGCGGGTGTACCAAAAAGCTACTTATGGAACAACAACAATAGTTACCTATGTAGAAGATGCCCATAACACAACTTGAGACTCATTGAATGCTGACTTAGTGAATTACAATAACACAGTTTTAATTCTTAAGATACTTATTTCTTTTTCATCTCCCAATTGATAAGAGTAATTTCTAGTTTACGTGTAAGACTTTTGCAGCAGAAAATACAACAATAATAATAATAATAATAAGCCCGCAGGGCACCTTGAGGCGAGGTGACGGGCATTAGCGATCCCGCGGGCTACCATCATCCCGAGTGCTCCAGGGAGAGGTCACCGTTCCTTCTTCTCCGGCTTGCCTTAATTGGCTGGCTGGAGTGAATGATGACAAGGAACAGGTCTCCCACCTCTGGCTTGCCTTCATTGGCCGTCCAGAGTGGAGTCGCGAGAGCAGTGATCCTGCTCGGAGGGTAAGAAACTATTCGTAAGTCGCGAGTGGGCCAGGGATGCAGGAGGCTTCGGCTGGAGCAGATGATCTGAGTAGAAAGCGGTGGTAGTTTCTTAACCCTTCAGCCACTCACATTCTCGTTGCCCCTCTGTTGCTATATCTAGCAACCATTCCCGGGGCCCGGTCGGTGAGTTGGCGAGTCTCCGCCTGCCATTTTTACGTGTAAAAATTACATAGTTTCGGCAGGTGCCATAGTCATCCATAGTTCCTAATTTACCAGTCCACAGCAACCCATCCATAGCCCTACCTTTTTTTTCCATTATCCACAATAGTCCTACACTAACCGGGGACTGTCCTTGGGTGCATTTCCATAGTGCATACAGGGATAGTCGCCGGTTTGTGTGTCCATTACATTTATATTAAAGTTGTCTAAAGGGCCTCTGCGCAGTTGGCTTCGGCCCCTCGTACGCCTCCCAAATGACCGGGACCCTGTGGTCCCGTGAATGGTAAAGACATACATAATAATAATAATAATAATACAGAAGGCAGTTCTCCTTGAAACGGCACGTATCGTGAGGAGGTTTCTGTCTCTGGAGCCCTAACCACCGGTAGCTTGGACCATGCTCCCGCTACTGGTCGGCTCCTATTTTTTATATTTTTAAATATTATTTTTATGTTTTTGTAAGTAGTATTTAAAAATGCATTTTATAGAGAATTTAAAATAAATATATGGAAATAATAATAATAATAAAACAGTTTAAAATGTAACAGTTTATATCCTAGACCTACTCAAATTTTCATTTACATTTATACATGACCTGCATTATATTAATAAAAAAACTATTAATTTTATTGTTTACTAGCTACTTCCGCGCGGTTCCACACGCTCTGCTCAGCGCCTATCGGTCGTAGCGTGATGTTTTATAGCTTATAGCTATCCACGATAAATGCGCTATCTAACACAAAAAGAATTATTCATATCAGGCTTGTAGTTACGGAGATTAGCGCGTTCAAACAAACAAACAAAAAAAACAAACTCTTCCGCTTTATATAATTAGTATAAGATTATTACACGTCTTCGGAAAGGGATATGGAATGATGAGCACAAGTGATGAGAATATCTCACATCGAGATGATCATGAAGTATTTAAATTATTAAATAAATAGTTGACAGAAAGTCCTCCACAAGACAAATATTGCGTGTACTTTCTATATAGCACGCACTATAAATTAGCTAATTCTCTATAGAACCACAGTAAAAATATATCACAGTGTAAACAAAATATACTTTACATTCAGGGATGTTTCAGATATTAGTAGTAGAAGCAATTCAATTTATCTAGCCTGCCTGTCATGTCACCACAAACTGCAATATACCTAAACCAAACAGAATTTTTACACGCCTTAATATTGCATTCATATAAGTACTCATTTACACTGACACAAACACTCGGTAAATGCTTTATTTGTTAAATGTAATGAATGTAAGTAATTCAGAACAAGTGTACCGGTTTGATGCCCTGACAATCCTAATTTAATTGATATTTTCATATTCTCTATAACTGAGACTGAATATGAGTAAGACAGACATAACATATGGCTCACGCATATAACGTGGGAGATTTCGAGAAATAAATCGTATATCACTCGTAGGAATTCTTTTCCACCAAAGACATTTGCTACGTTGGACTATGAATTGGTTTAAAATTAAATAAAATAACATAAATATTCATTGGTGCACACTGCACTGTCATTAGTGATTCTACTAAGATAATAATACTTTTTATTTACGAAATAATGCGTTCTATGGATGCCCACCGGTACAGTAGGACGCAGTGAGTACTACTTTCCTCACAGCACCGCCCTCACTGCTTCCCTACTATCAATCGGTCATATTATGAAAAGCTATTATAAGCTATTGACTATTTCAGGTCAAGCTGCGTATTTTCTTCGCGCAGTAATATAACGCCGTGGCGGTGCAGGTTCATACCATATTTTACTTAAAACAACGTGGAATGGTCCACAGTGTCAGTGAAAATTGTCACGTCGTTTCACAGCATAGTTTCTACGCAGCACACCTACATAGTACATTTATTTAAATTACAATACTTTAATATTACAGTCTTAAAACCAAGGCGTTGTACATTTCAAATGATTATAAAGAAATGAAGGAAAAGTCCTTAAATGACAAATTGTAAAGATGGAAGAGAAATATATATAATAATAAATAGGAATAAGAAAAACCTTACAAACTATGACACGTTTTAACAGCAATAACCAAAATACACAATAGACATTATTACAACACAATATAAATTATATTACAGGTGGAAAAACAGCCTATATTATTTTCTGATTCTGACAGAAGGATACCTGATGTCAGGTCCTTTCAGTTGATTAGCCCTGTGTTATACAAAACATTATAGTATAGTTTGGATATTTATAACACTATTTGATAATCAAGTTCTATAAATTAAAACACATTAGCATCTAATACCAATGTCATATCTAGAATAAGTAAGCTCCAATTTATAAATTCCACCTTCCTTTAAAGCTTTCTTACAGTGTGACCACACCTAAGGTCAGCCACCACTAAACAAGTTCATCCTCGAGCATCGCATGCTCATTAAGAAACATTGGCCGCTACTTACGATGTAATTGATCAATTCGCACCTCACTATAAATACTGTGATAACGATACTAGGTTATCAGTTGCACTCACAGCTTCTGGGTAGCAAGTTCTGTACAACACAAGAACACAAAATGAAATTGGTGAGGATTATTTAGAGTAAATATTTTTTTATCAAATGTAATTATTGAGGCTCTTGCATTATTATATAACTTGGGTGTATTTTTTTTTTCAGTTCATCGTCTTAGCCGCTGTTGCTTTGGCCCAGGCCGCCAAACTGGACAGGACTTACCTTCCACCTAACGCTCAGGCATCTTCAGGATCTGCCTTCCTTGATGCTCCCCGCCAGTCCAACGGATTCCAGGGTCAAACTGGTGCCTTCTCATCCAGCGCCCAAAACGGTGCTTACTCAAGCTTTGACGCCCGTCCAGTGGAGCGCGCTCAGGCTGCCTTCGAGAGGAACGCTGCTATCCTTCGTCAGGACAACTCCAACGATGGAGAGACTTACGCGTATGCTTATGAGACTGAGAACGGTATCTCTGGCGAGGAGAACGGAGTGGCAACCAACGGAGTGCAGGCTCAGGGCAGCTACTCCTACACTGGGGATGATGGCAAGGTCTACTCTGTGAGGTAAACATTACAAATTGATTAATCATCTTCATATAATTTTGTGACGCTGATAACACTAACGTCTTTTCTCACATCTACAGGTACACCGCTGATGAGAACGGTTTCCAACCCCAAGGTGACCATCTCCCCACTCCTCACCCTATCCCTGAAGAGATCCTGAAGGCTTTGGAACAGAACGCTCGCGATGAGGCCGCTGGCATCTTCGACGACGGTGAGAAAATTATTATCTCTACAACTTAAAATCTTACAAATACATATTTCATTAATATTACAACGCTCTAGAACACTAAGACACTATAACATGACTGTTATAGTAACCTAAGTAAGATCACCTTTAACACACGTTTTTGTTCATATTTTCAGGATCTTACAGCGAAGCCAAATACGACACCAACGCTCGTAATGGTTACCAAAGCTCCAGTTCTGCTGCTGGAGTCCAGAAAGCGTATCTCCCGCCTTTCGCGCAGAAAGCTGGAGCGAGACAATCCTCCTTCGATGCTAGAGCCGGCTACCGTTACTAGAGACTGATGTAAATTATTGTACATAATGGATTGTTATTCAATAAAGTATTTATTTGAACAAAATATCTACGTTGTGATTGAGTATTGAAAACTTGTACCTCATTTTGATGTAATAGTGGTCAATCTGAATGTCAGGTTCGAGGTTCGAGAAACATGATATACAATTTTATACTATATTTTTGTGCTATGTTCTATTAATAGTCTTAAAGCGTACAGCTCAGTTTATGGCTGAACGACACCCAATCCACGCAAAAATACCGAGCTACATTTACTTTCTACATCCAGCAGACACCTCCATCTCCAATTCCTAATTCATCGGTCTTGTCATCATTATCATCAACCTGTTTCCGTCTACTACTTGACATAGGCCTCTCTAGGCACGCTACTGCTAGCTCGATCAGCCCTTTACATACTTTAGTCTTGTGATATACACATACAATATTAATGTATTCCAAAAGAAAAGTATGTTGGTATTAACTAAAATCACGAGTTACTCACGTGAATATACAGAGAAAAGCTGTACTAGTTTCCACAGAGCCACAGAGCACTGCACTGAGCACAGTGAGCAGCGCGCATGCTGCTCATGAGGAAGAACCCCTCTGTGGTTCGAAACTAGTAGAGCTTTTCTCAGTATATTCAAGTGAGTAACCCGTGATTTTAGTATGTCTCACGATAGTTATTATATGTTGGTATTGTTGGTCGACCCTGACATCAAGCTTGGGATCCGAGCTCAGCAGTCACGCTTACAACCACTTCACTAATGACGTTTACGCTCACGATCTTTGAAAATGCTCAGCACTGATTGGGACCCCCGACGAGGCGGTTGAAACTTAGTTGCAGAAACAATAAATTTTTTTTTTGAGTTTTGCTACATGGCAATCTGTTTTATAACAATAAGCCACTTCTTTGTCTGATTTCTCAGTTTATGTTTTCTTCAAGAGCCATATTTGTATGAAAATTCCTTTCAGACGACTCTCTTGTCGTCCAATGGTAAATCTTTTATGTAGGTTCGGTATGTCACTTCTTTTTAGCCTGGTATGCTGAAGGGTGTCTTCACTCAGAGCGTGTACCAATGTGTTTACATGGGCTGCCAGTTTCTCCTGATATTTCAAACTGTTTTGAGCTATTTCCTGCCGAACTGTTTTTAGGCCGAGGTCGAGGTATATGTACCAATGAGGGATGCCAAACATTGTTCTTTGGCTTTGGTTTGGAATCTCTCTAGGATGTCTATGTTGCTGTTGCTGGCCGTTCCCCACAGTTGTATGCCGTAAGTCCATATTGGTTTTAAGGTGGTTTTGTATACTAACATCTTGCTGTTACAATTTAGTTGCGATTGGGATCCCAACAGCCAGTTCAGTGACCGCAGTCTTCCATCTAATTGTTTGCGCTTTGACCAAATATGTTTCTGCAGAAACAATAATAATTAGATTTATTTGGTTGCAAAGTTCTCTCTGTTATAATCAAAAGACATTGGTCTAGTGGCGCGTGTCATTACTCAACAAGGAGTCTCACGTTTTATTTTATTATCGATAAATATGGAATATCAGGCCTTTTATTTGGGAAGGGGTAGGCAGAGGTGTACATTACGGCACTTAGGTAATGCCACTGTACAATGTAACACCCACTTTTCATAATTTATGTTATCATCCCCATGTAATAGGGGGTGAGCCTATTGCAATGTACCTACCGGGCATAATTCCAGACTCTCTACTACTCGCTACTACTGATAATTTAAAAACTCAGTAATATTTTGCCCGGTAATCGATCCCGAGACCCCTTGCCCAGCAGTCGCACTTGCAATCACTCGGCCAATGAGGCAGTCAGTTATCGATAAATAGTTTCGAGCTTTTCCGTTTTCAAATTATATCTGGTTCTCTTATAATGGAAATAAGACATAGCAAGCTTACTTACTCATTCTGTGTATAAAAGGCGCAATGATATATTTTTTTTCACTTACATTTATCTTTACAGGTTAATGCCCAATATGATAAATGCGCCCATATTAACATCTATAGCATATTACATATAATGCACTCCTTGTGAATTCACCCAGAGTACAACAAAATAGGTCAGTGAGACATACTAAATTAACTAAAAATCGCGGGTTACTTACGTGAATATACTGAGAAGTATATACTAAGATACTAATAGAGCTTTTCTCAGTATATTCACGTGAGTAACCCGCGATTTTTAGTTAAAATAGGGCAGTTTCATTAGAAATTAGGTTGAGCAAATAACATTAAATAATGTGTAAATAAAGAAAAGTCTAAAAAAATGTAATAAGAAAACCTATCGTTAGGTATTTTCCTTAATAAAAAATAAATTATTTCGACTGTTGAATACAATAAATTATTAAAATATAATCACACTTTCATTAATTGATTTTGTGACCAACTTAATTTTAATATTTTTCTAGCAAATTTTTAAGAAATAAGTATGCTGATTGACGCTACAAGAACGTGACGTCACAATACACAATCTCGTACAAAATTCATAGAAACATGTAGTTTTTGACAGTTCGAAAAAAGTATTGAATTTGACTAGTTGGCAAGTACTCAATTTTAATTAATTAATTTATTTAAATAGGTATACCTACAGCCTCTGCATACATAATATTACGTGATAATGAAAGTAACAACAGGTAATGACAAAGCTAACGAAGTAATAACATACATAAATTTGGTGAGTTCATTAGTATATTTAGGCGCACTTCACGCTTAATTGTGTATGTATCCACCTACTCTTCAATCACCCTGCTACACTTTGATCTATGTCGTAAGCAGACAAGTAAGTGGCAGTCTTATTTTATAAAACTTGCATAAGAAACTGATAAAGACAGATCTAGTAAGCTACTCATCACTTACGTAATGTTCGAACTTAAACTTCAATTTAATATTTAAAAAAACGTAACCTGAATTGCTACACAAACCGTGCTTATCTCAATTTCGCTGAGATAAAAACTCCGTGCAATATTTCCTTTAGGTAACATCTAGTGTTTAAATTATTAAAATAAATTACCAAAGTCATCATTACCATCTAATCAGCCGGTTACAATCTTAATCATGATGGATGATCTTAGAGATGATCTTGTTTCTAAGTAGACATCTAAAACAATAAAACTAAATATGCTCATTTTTGCGAAAGGAATCTTTTATTAGTTACGTTTGTCATAATATTCTTCTTATACATGTTTTAGGGAATGTACATTGCTTAGATAATGCAAAGAAATTGCTTAGATTATTCCTACACACATACATATATGTTGTCCGTAGGGACAAAGATATATTACTTAAAGATAAACGTGTGGTGTTTATCTTTAAGTATTTGTAACACTAAAGTGTGAACCGAAGTCGGTGAACATTGGTTCACCGACTTCTGAACAAAATACTTATTATCAATATAAAATCAATATAAAAAAATAGTATTTTCTTCACCTAATAATGGTTCCGAGTAGACACCTCTTGTACACCACTAGTTGTATAACAACCGTTAAAATCAAATTGACTAAACGTAACGAAAGTTAAAAGTTAAGCACAGACCCTTTTTTTTTAAAAAAACATAGTTACGTTCAAATCATACAGATTTACAAAGAGCCAGGATTTGAATGGAAATCCTAAAAAATACGTTTGGATCCTTATTTTTGTGGTAGTCTACGTAGAAACAATTATTTTTAAAATCGTTCTTTGTAGTTGAAGTCTTGCAAAAATATACTTTTTTTATTTAATTAAAAAACTTTTATTTGCATAAGCCAGTAAACGAGCAGACGGATCACCTGATGGTAAGCAATCGGCGTCGCCCATGGACACCTGGAACACCAGAGGCGTTATAAGTGCGTCACCGGCTTTTTGGGGATTAGGAGTTTGAGGATCGTTGGGGATGAATGGGGAGATTGGGGAAGGGGAGGGTAATTGGGCCTCCGGTAACCTCACTCACACGACGAAACACAACGCAAGCGTTGTTTCACGTCGGTTTTCTGTAAGGCCGTGGTATCACTCCGGTCGAGCCGGCCCATTCGTGCCGAAGCATGGCTCTCTCACTTAAAATACAGTTTTACAGTTACATCAGGAGTGTAACGTAGCACACTTGTCTGTTTGTGTTTGCAAACACTTCACAACTCGTTCAATACTAAAACCAGTCATATCTTTTTTAACCGTCTATCTCTAATACTTTTTTCTGCAATATATCAAAGGATTGAAATCTCTATAATTATCTAAGCAATGTGCATTACCAGAGCATCTGCATACATTTCGTAAGAGATCGCATCAGCCATTCTATGTCAGTCTGCAAGATTTATCAGGCCAATTTGTTTTGACAGTACCGACATGTCTAGTTAACGATTTCAATAGATCATTACTCATTCGAATCTAGATACACTAGACTAGATGGACAGGCAGAAAAGATCACATTTCAATCATGAGAAAATAGTTTAGCGTATGGGAATATGTTCAAAACAATTAGAGGTATTTTAATGGTTGTTCAACTACTGCATAAAATATCTTCACAACTTTTAAGGATCGTTCTTTTTGGAGGACTATGGTTGATCATACCAAGTGGTGACACGAGGCAGCATGATAAGATGACACATGTAGCTACTAAGAGGCTTATAATTCTTGAGTAAGACTTATGTTTCATTCATGAACATTTAACAATCCAAACAACAACACTATGCAACTAGAAAATTGTATTGTGAACCTGATTGGAAAAGAGTAACCTATGGAGTTACTTGCTCGTTCTTCTCCATACGAATCTACACCTTGAAAAAAGCAAATGGCTTTACTTTCATTTTTTGTTGACAATAAAATGTGCACTTTTGGTCTAATTGAAATAAATGATTTTCACTTTGACTTTGACTTTGTACAAATACAAGTAAATCAATGAAATAAGTAGGTCGTATTTTGTCCAAATAAATACTTTATTGAATAACAATCCGATATGTACAACTATTTACATCAGTCTCTAGTATCGGTAGCCGGCTCTAGCGTCGAAGGAGGATTGTCTCGCTCCAGCCTTCTGCGCGAAGGGGGGGAGATACGCCTTCTGGACTCCAGCAGCAGAGTTTTGATCAGCACCACTACGAGCATTGCTGTCGTATTTGGCTTCGCTGTAAGATCCTGAAAATATGAATAAAAATATGTGTTAAAAGTGGCCTACTTAGGTTAACATTATATTATTATTTCTGGTTCAGTAATATCAAAATATGTGGTTGTAAATGACACGATAATGAGTTGCTCACCGTCATCGAAGATGCCAGCGGCCTCATCGCGAGCGTTCTGCTCCAGAGCTTTCAGGATCTCTTCAGGGATAGGGTGAGGAGTGGGGAGATGGTCACCTTGGGGTTGGAAACCGTTCTCATCAGCGGTGTACCTGTAGAAGTGACAAAAGACGTTAGTGTTATCAGCGTCACAAAATTATACGAAGATGATTAATCAATTTGTAATGTTTACCTCACAGAGTAGACCTTGCCATCATCCCCAGTGTAGGAGTAGCTGCCCTGAGCCTGCACTCCGTTGGTCCCCACTCCGTTCTCCTCGCCAGAGATGCCGTTCTCAGTCTCATAAGCATACGCGTAAGTCTCTCCATCATTGGAGTTGTCCTGACGAAGGATAGCAGCGTTCCTCTCGAAGGCAGCCTGAGCGCGCTCCACGGGACGGGCTTCGAAGCCTGAGTAAGCACCGCTTTGGGCGCTGGATGAGAAGGCACCAGTTTGACCCTGGAACCCATTGGATTGGCGGGGAGCATCAAGGAACGCAGATCCTGAAGAAGCCTGAGCGTTGGGTGGGAGGTAGGTCCTGTCCAGTTTGGCGGCCTGGGCCAAAGCAACAGCGGCTAAGACGATGAACTGAAAACATATACCCAAGTTATGAAAATATTCTCAATTAAAACGTAATTAATTGCGTTACACAAAACCTCACTAGTTTCATTTTGTGTTCTTGTGTTGTACAGAACTTGCTACCCAGAAGCTGTGAGTGCAACTGATAACCCAGTATCGTTATCACAGTATTTATAGTGAGGTGCGAATCGATCAATTACATCGTAAGTAGCGGCCAATGTTTCTTAATGAGCATGCGATGCTCGAGGATGAACTTGTTTAGTTGTGGCTGACCTTAGGTGTGGTCACACTGTAAGAAAGCTTTACTGTCGGAAAGGTGGAATTTTAAAGTGAAGCTTATGCTACGACATGCAAATTTAATGGGTTAAAATTTTAGCAAATAATTTACAAGAATGAATGTACTAATTATATCATTGCCATACCTACGGTGGGGCTTTTTAAACGAATGTGGAAACAATTTTTATTTCGAAAATAAATTAGGATTTAAAATTATATTAAGATTCAGTGTGAATATAATGCGACGGATTACGAATGAAATTAATCATTATATTATGGTAAAGCTACATGCAACTTAAATACCGCGATTTCATGGGAGATGTACCAGTACCAACTTGTCACAAAATATGCATGAAGTAGTGACGCAATATTACAATTACTTTTCTTTTTATAGGATAAGCCGATAAATGAGCAAATGGATCACGTGATGGGAAGCAATTGGCGTCACCCATGGACACCTGAAACACCAGAAGTGTTAAAAGTGCGTTATCGGCCTTTTGGGGATTAGGAATTTGAGGATTGTTGTGTTGTTTCACGTCGGTTTTCTGTGAGGCCGTGGTATCACTTAGGTCGAGCCGGCCCATTCGTGTCGAAGTATAGGTCACCAACTTTTTCTTGAACAACCATTTGCTATAATTATATTAGCAATATACTTAGATCTCTAGTATGCCATCGAGGGGCAATTAATTTGTTACTATTGGTAGCAGTATAAATAAACTTTACTTTTGACGAACAATTTTGGAAGCAACAAAAAGTATTATTAAGTTCAATACTTAGTACCCAGTCTCAATTCTTGTTTTCAGTTATTGCTCAATAAGTACGTTACTTTACTTGACACAGTAGGTACCAAATAATAATTTCTTTTGATATAATGTCAACACTTTAATGCCAGCCTACTATTAAATGTTGGGTGCTATTGTTCAGTCTCCATATTAGATAAACATATTGAAAGATCAAATAGATTTAGATCGAATACAAATTTCTTGGCCAGGATTCAACCTTAAATTTGTATTCTAAGCCCTTGTGATAACGTATTTTATTGCCACAAAAATGCTATGCTATGCTAATGCATACAGTGCCTTTTTCTCTGGTTTTACAGATGTCCAATGACGGCATTTGGACCGCATATCGTCAAGCGATATATCTTTTCATTTGACCCCATATCCATAAAAACCTCGCCGTCGTTGTAGGTATGTATCCTGGTGTGATAAAAACTGTTATATTACTTTAATTTTTTTTGTGTAGTGACAGTAAATGAAAAATAATAAATCTTATTTAAAACTAGACTGCCTCGTTTGCCGAGTGATCGTAAGTGCGACTGCCAGGCAAGGGGCCCGGGAAGAGTAAAGTATTGCTGGCTAGCACGGAGTCTGAAACTGTATCCGGTATATATGGCAATAGGCTCACCCCTAATTATTGAAAAGTGGGTGTTACACTGTACAGTGGCAAAGTGTTATTTCGGGAATAAAAGGCGTGATGATATTTATTTATTTTAAAAACTCGCGATTGCGATTAATGAAGTGCTTATTTCATTATAATTATTATATTCTGTTTACTTATCTTTTAGGCACAGACCAGATTGACTATTATCAATGTGCATAAGTGTATAATTTACAGAAATCATTTCATTTCATTCCATATCATTCCATTCCATTCCATTCCATTTCATTTCATTTCATGGCGTGACAATCCATAAGCCGTGGTCCCATTATATATAGTAAAATATTTCTGTGGTAGTCCCATGTGTGGGCAGGAGTTACAACCGGGAAATTATCGGTCAGTAAGACCCTACCAGTCCCTCACGCACTGCATCGTCCAGGGCGGGAAGAGTCGTTTAATGATTTTCCTTGTTCACAAAGGTGTACTTTACGAAAACCGTTTACTATTAGGTGAGCAAATAAGCTTCGTTACATTATACAAAGTGAGTACAGTACTTAAGAAAGTATATATTTTGTATGCAAATAAAATGTACTTAGATATTTCTTATTTCAAACATAAATCATTCGCGTCCTCCAAGATTTCGTGCTTCAATTGTTATCAATTACAAGTGGACTATTTATATACTTATTTGAGTGTGGAACGTAATATAGAATCACGTTTGTACGACACTACTGGATGCAGAAAGCATGGCTCATAGAAATGTCTATTCTCAGAAAGCACGTTTCGCCGAAAACTTTATTGTTAGAAAATATTGTTCGTAGATATCTCGCTCCATAGAAAGCACTAGCCATAGAAATCTTTATTCCTAGACAGCTCGTTTTGCCGAAACCTTTGTTGGTAGAAAATACTATTCGTAGATATTCTGTTCATAGATAGAATTTTCCACCTTGATTCACAGAAAGCAAAGGTAACTATGAATATGCATATGAACAAAATGGAAATAAAGGTATTTGTTTGATTATCCTAGATAAAAAAAAAATTGTCATATGAATAAATCTGTTTTGTTTTTTCTGTCTCTGAGAAAAATCCGTAATAATACTATTGTTGGTATGTGTCTATAATACGAATCAAGGTGAAAAATTCTATCTATGAACAGAATATCTACGAATAGTATTTTCTACCAACAAAGGTTTCGGCAAAACGAGCTGTCTAGGAATAAAGATTTCTATGGCTAGTGCTTTCTATGGAGCGAGATATCTACGAACAATATTTTCTAACAATAAAATTTTCGGCGAAACGTGCTTTCTGAGAATAGACATTTCTATGAGCCATGCTTTCTGCATCCAGTAGTGTCGTACAAACGTGATTCTATATTACGTTCCACACTCACTTATTTTGTCCCACGACAACCGTGGGATGGGAGTCAATTATTATAAGTTTATGTGATGCGCTTTTAGTTTTAGATGTGCTGATATGAGATTTTATTACGTGATTTAGATGAAAAATATGTACCTACCTAATAGTGCATTAATTTTTGCTAGTTATAGGTTTGCATATAAAAATGTAGCATGTATTTAGTACATGTTACAGGTTCAATACTCCATACTTTATCGCATTCCATAATGTATTTTACAACAGGTAGCATTGTTAGAAGGCACAGAAACAATTATGAGGCCTGTCGGGCAGCAAAAGTCGTTTTAGAGGAGAGGGTGGTTTAGCATCCATTGGTCTCATTTCATAAAAAATCATTGTAGGTATCTATTATCAATTTTTTAAACTGTCAAACACCGCGAGGACACCGGTGACCGCAACCTATTGTCCTTTAATTGTGTCTATAATGACGGTAATCAAAGGGATAAGGTGTATATATTTTAGTTTTTAGTTATTTGTATTTTAAGTTGTATGTACATATTTATTCATAATTAAGTTATTTAAGTTTATTATTTGTAAATAAAAGGTTTATCTAATAATATGAATGCCAAATGTAACAAAATATTGAAAAATAATGTTTTTTTAAATAGGTTAAGAAAGTTGTATCATAGAGGTACCCAATAAATAAACCACAGATATTGATATGGCAGTTCTATATATTATAAATTATTCAAAATCACAGTAACAAACAAACTAAACAGTCTCTAGTAGCGGTAGCCATCTCTAGCGTTGAAGGATTGCCTCGCTCCATTCCTCTGGAAGGGAGGAAGGTAGGCTTTTTGGACTCCAGAGTTGGATCCAGCGTTGTTTCTGGCAAAAGAGTTGTTGATGATGGGTTGACGGTAAGCATTCCTTTGGTTGTTGCGCTGAGCGAAGGGTGGGAGGTACGCTTTCTGGACTCCAGCAGCGGAGTTAACGCTTTGGGCAGCATCGTTGCGAGCGAAGGCGTTGTTGTTGAAGGCGGGTTGTTGCACTCCGCTTCCCTGGTTGTTGCCCTGAGCGAAGGGAGGAAGGTAAGATTTCTGGACGTCAGCGACAGAGCTCTGAGCGTTGTTGTTGTAGTATTGTTGTTGGTTGTTGCCAGCGAATGAAGCTTCACGGTAAGTGCCTGTAAATCGAATGATAAATATAATTAGTCATAAAATCATCAGTAAAGACATTCATAATAAATATCATGTAACATTCATTTATTCATGCTACGCACCATCGTCGTAGATACCAGCAGCCTCATCACGAGCATTCTGTTCCAGAGCCTTCAGGATCTCAGCGGGAATGGGAGGAGGAGTGGGGAGATGGTCACCCTGGGGCTGGAAACCGTTCTCGTCAGCGGTGTATCTGTAAATATTAATAATTTATTGTAAAATATTACCTTCACATGCAAGTAAAAGAAAAAAATATAATAGGACACCGAAGATCCTCACCTCACAGAGTAGACCTTGCCATCATCCCCAGTGTAGGAGTAGCTGCCCTGAGCCTGCACTCCGTTGGTCGCCACTCCATTCTCCTCGCCAGAGATACCGTTCTCGGTCTCATAAGCATACGCGTAAGTCTCTCCATCATTGGAGTTGTCCTGACGAAGGATGGCAGCGTTCCTCTCGAAGGCAGCCTGAGCGCGCTCCACGGGACGGGCTTCGAAGCCTGAGTAAGCACCGCTTTGAGCGTAGTTCGATGATTGAGAGAACTCATTAGAGTAGGCACCAGATTGTTGTTGGAATCCATTGGACTGACGGGGAGCATCAAGGAAGGCAGATCCTGCCGAAGCCTGAGCGTTAGGTGGGAGGTAAGTCCTGTCCAGTTTGGCAGCCTGGGCCAAGGTGACGGCAGCTAAAACGATGAACTGAAAAATAAACATTAGTTTAGTATAGTAAATTGTTGTTAAATTTTTGCTTTTGAAATGTCAACCGTTGCTTATCAATCGGATAATTTAAAACTTTTATAGTATTTTACTTTCTTTTAACACATGTCACTAAAACATTTTTTATTGAACTTTAAATGAGTCATAAACACTTTCAATTGCTCTAATTTTTCGCTCTAATTTTTAAATTCACATTCTTTTTTGCAATTCCTCACCAATTTCATTTTTGTTGTTCTGATGAACTTGCTACTATGAAGTTGTGGATGCAACTGATAACCTTACAAATATCAGAACACTATATATAGTTGGGTGTATGTCGATCTATTTCATAGCTAGTAGCGTTCAATATTTCATCATCAAGATTCGTGTACGAGGATGGGCTAGTCCAATTGTAGATGACCTCAGAGAAACGTCTGTTTGAAATAGTTTTGATTTTAAAAGGCGTAATCAAGATAATAAGTTTAATAATGATCTGGTTTCCTTGTAGGTCACTGAGGCCAGGAAACGCACGTTTTATTCGAAGAGGCTTTAATAATGTATGAAATAAGATTGTGATGTTCGGGACGAAAATGGTAATGTTATCGGACTAAACTACACTTCCAATTCTGTAAAATGTCATCCCCTTGAAAGAGACTAGGTTGTATTTATCTTCGTTATAGTATCCATCACTTTGATCAGACATTATCTTGTCTCCAATAAATTTTGCCATGTCATCCGAGATGGGGACCACGGATAGATACAGTCTACGACAGTGATAGTTTGTTCTCAGTGTTTTACTAACAATCGTTTTAATGTCTGTCTTTAAAAAAACGTTGTCCCACACTAGGATTTTCTCCTGTATCGTGGGGGCAATTACAAACATACAAGTTCACACATTCAAGACACCCAGACCCGGAAAACAAACAATGGATCGCACAAAAAATTGTTCCATTCGGGAATTGAACCCGCAACACGTTGCCCAGCCTCCGCGCCAACCATGCAGATCACAGATAGTGTGTTTTTTTTTAATGGGGAAAAATCATCGAATGATTGCTCCCGCCTGGACGAGGCTCTTACTGACTAAAAACCGTTCCTACTTATGCACTTCGAGCCAGAGCTTAAAAAAAACAAACTCACTTTCCGATTTATAATATAAGTAAGGATTCTAATATCCTAAAAAATTGTTTTTTTCCTGACTGCAAAATTAAAGTGTTGGTTTTGTCAACTTGTGATTATTGTAAACAAAATTGCCTCGTTGGCCGAGTAGTCGCAAGTGCGACTGCCGGGCTACAGGTCTCGTGTTCGATTTTCGGGTCGGGCAAAGTATTAAGTGGTTTAGCACGGAGATTGGAATTGTGCCCGGTATATGGCAATAGGCTCACACCCTATTACATGGGACTCATAACATAGATAGTGAAAAGTGGGTGGTATAATGAGTACCTCTGCCTACTCCTTAAGGGATAAAAGGCGTGATGTTATATGTAAAATTAAAATAGAAGTATCTAACAGAAAACAGATTATTAAATGTAAAATCGGTATTTTTTTTTGTAACATAATTTACTTACTTTTACGACCGACACGTATATATTTTAAGAAACTGGTAATAAACAGATATCTTCAATTCTTTCTAAAATGAAAAATATAATAATATCATGTAGCTCGGCATAGTCGTGTCGCGGTCACCATATATGTATACCTAGCCGATGAATAACTGTGAGAGCTATCTATAGCGTCATAATTTTCCCGAAGGACTGCTAGTGACAATTAAGATTCGTTTGGCTCTAAAGAATTTGAAAGTATTAAACCATTAATATTAATATTTTGACACATATTTTCAGTGATTGGACAAACTGTATCTACCACCAGATTTGTGCTTTTTGATGAAAAAAAATGATAGTCCTCATTGGCTAGAATTGAAGTGTGGGAGGGCCATGCTTCGGCACGAATCGGCTGCTCGACCGGAGTGATACCACGGCCTCACAGAAAACCGACGTGAAGCAACGCTTGCGTTGCGTTTCGTCGTGTGAGTGAGGTTACCGGTGGCCCAATTACCCTCCCTGAATCCCAACGAACCTAAAATTCCTAATCCCCAAAAAGCCAGTAAACCATTTGTAACACCTCTAGTGTTCCAGGTATCCATGGCTGACGCCGATTGCAGGTGATCCGTCTGCTCGTTTACCGGCTTATGCCATAAAAAAAAGTTTCAAGAATTTCAGTTACAATACCCAAAATTGCTTTTATCCAACTTTGAACTCCAATATCATACTTAATTATAACTTGAACATTACTTTTACTAAAACTATTCAAGTATTACCACATCGATCTTTTGAGATCATTCGTAGTCATTACCGTTGCGGTATCATCACGCGTCCATTGATGTAAGCAGAGTAAGTCAGTGGGGTGAAGGTCGTTATAATGCTCTGTTAGTTTCAGAATTGAATCATAGATGGCGTTGCTCAGCGATGTGTGTCGAGCTTTCATATTTTGGCTATGAGTCATAAGTTCGTGATTATCACGTCATGCGTTTAGACTGTATCGTTGATTGAGTGGATGCGAGTGCGACTGCCGGGGTAGAGGCCTCAGATTCAATTCCTTTGCAGAGTAAACCATTGTATCGGTTATGTTTTTGTAATGTTACGGAATGAAGCGGGAATGGTACTCGATTTTTATGAATAGCGTCATTCCTTATCACACGTAACTCATAACATTACAACAAAAGTAACATGGTAAAAAATGAGTATTATATAGTCGACCTCTGTGTATTTTTTTAGGTACCTAAAGGCCTAACATTATACCTAGTACACCTATTTACTAGCCAGATATACAACTATTTATTTTTTTATAGAATATGTCGGTAAACAGCAGACGGATCACCTGATGGAAAGCAATCGGCGCCGCCCATGGACACACGGAACACTAGAGGCTTTACAAGCGCGTTACCGGCCTTTTGGGGATTAGGAATTTGAGGATTGTTGGGGATTCAGGGATTTGGGAGATTGGAGGGGGGTGTTATTCCTCCGGTAACTTCACTCACACGAAGAAACACAATGCAAGCGTTGTTTCACGTCGATTTTCTGTGAAACCGTGGTATCACTCCGGTCGAACTGTCCAATTCGTGCCGAAGCATGGCTTTCCCAGATAATAAAGAATAGGTAGGCAACACTGTATTTCATAAATGTTTAACTCTCAACCAACCATCATTTTACTCAAAGCACCATTCATTAACACAGACCAACAATTGACTGTCAAACTTCTTATCATAGCATCCCAGTTCATGCAAGATGTTATATACACTCTAAAAAGCAAGTTCACAGTTCACGGTCGGTATAGTAATTATAAAGACAATAACGATTATCTAAAGAACGATGTCCGATCGTGTGTCCAGCGACCTCTTGTGACCTTTCACTGCTTGAATGAAATGATGACTGATGAAGATTTTGTACGAATGTTTGATTTTATAAGTAAAGTGTTTCGTTCTCGATTCTTGAATTGGTTGAAGTTGGTATTTGGTTTTGAGCTGTCATAGTCGAATGTGTATGTTGAGAGTAAAGTCTCAGATTGTTGAAGTGTGTATCTAGAGAGTAAAGTTTCAGATTTAATTCATCATTAACAGCGTATAATGCCCACTGCTGAGCAAAGCCTCTTCTCATACGGAGAAAGTTTGAGCATTAATCACCACGCTTGCTCAATTTCAAACTTATAATTAGAAATTATAAGGCAAGGTTTTCTAACGATATTTTCCTTCTCCGTTTTTCAGTAGTGTCTGAATGATCTTAGAAAGTACATATAACTTGGAAAAAGTAACATTAACAATAACACGTGCTTGCCGTTAGTACTATTATTTTTTTCTTTTAAACGTTATCCCACACTAGGATTTTCTCCTGTATCGGTGCTTTTACAAGCATACAAGTTCACATACACATGACACCCAGACCCGGATCAACAATCCGTGGATCATACAAAGAGTTGTTCCGTGCAGGAATCGAACCCGCACCCTCATGCATGAGAGTTGGGCGTCTAAAACCTCCGGGCCAATACAACACCAGATTTAATTGTGTCAAGAAAATATTTTTGAGTTTTCCCTTTTCCAAATTGTCATTTATACATAGTCTATGGGATAGTGCCCAGCATTATTTCTAATATTATTTTTTGAAAAGGAGACAAGCGTAGGTAGATGTATGATAAGCCGCCCATAAACACCCACAACATATCAAAACGTATTCAAGTATTTTTTAACTGACTTCAAAAAAGGAGGTTATTCAGTTTCATGTGAGTATGTATGTATGTATTTATTTTAATGTAGTTTTCAGAATGGTGTTTGTTGCACTTTATTTTTTTAAGGGGGGAAAATCATCGAATGACTCCTCCCGCCTGGGTGAGCCGGAAGGGAGTGTCAGACTCTTACTGACTAAAAACCACCCCGTTCCTTCTCCTGCACGTCGAGCCGGAGCCCCGGTTACCCGTCAGGAGAAGGTTTTAGTATATTATTTAACCGACTACAAAAAAGAGGGGGTTGAAGTCGGTTTTTGAAACGTAGTTTATAAAAGAATTATTTTTGGAAATACCATCATCTTATCTTATACTTTGGTTTATCTTTACTTTATGAAGAGTTTATGTTTGTTTGTTCGTTCGTTTGTTTGTTTAAACGCGATAATCTTCGGAATTACCAGCCCGATTTCAATAATTCTTTTTGCGTTGGATTGTCCATTTATCGAGGAAGGTTATAGGCTACAAAACATCACGCTACACGACTTGAATACGTGGTGGTGGATGGAATAGCTACCAACGACAAGTGCCAATGTGACTTTTTCCGAGTTATATGTACTTTCAAAGATTATCTAGACACCACTGACAAACGGGGAATGAAAACATCGTGAGGAAACCTGGGCTTATAATTTCTAATTATAAGTTTGACATCGCCAACCCGCATTGAGCAAGCGTGGTGATTTTGCTCAGCAGTGGGCATTTGTAGACTGTTAATGACCAACTTGAATAAATCTTCCAATAAAAATATAATAACCAGCTTTGCATTTGACTAGGATTAATGAACGCTAAATATTCTAACATTTCGTATATCACAATGTATCACAACACATACTGCATATGTTAGAAGTGTAATATCCTCTGTTAAGCTAGACGGTACCGATCATTGCAGTTTGATTGATGACCAGTTTGACCATCTACTTCTAGTTTACTCATATCTCAAAACAATAGCTAATTACTAAGATACAAATGATTATAATTACGTGTATAATATGTGTATATTAATGACTTCTTCGTTTATCTTGCATCTTATCCACATATAGTTGAAGAATTTGTTTGCTTGTTTGTTTGTTTGATTGCGCTAATCTCAGGAACTACTGGCCCGATTTGAATAAATCTTTTAGTGTTAGATAGTCCTAAAACCTTCCTCAATACCTTTACTGAGATCATCTTTTTATTTTTTATTTTTTTATTGAAAAACATAAAATATCTACGTCCAATCCAAGCTTTCACGTATAATTTCTACTCTACGTACAACATAAGACATTTTTTTTTATATATATTTATTTGATGGGGCGACGTTTGACCACTATCTCTATTTTTTATGAACTTACCTGCAAGCCAACCCAGCATCTTTAACCATCTGATAACCGAGGAACTCATCTAATCTTTTAGCAATGGATATAGAAGCTAACTTCTGACAAATATATTAGACTAGTTTCAAGTCACGCTAAAGGCTCATATTCATGAGCAACATTCCGCGAGTAAGCCGAAAATTATAATAATTAATATAGTATGTCTCAAGAATAAAAAGTTTATATTAAAAAATTTAATAAATACTATTATATAAAACGGAAGAGTTTGTTTTATTGTTTGTTTGTTTGTTTGAACGCGCTAATCTCCGTAATTACAAGTCTGATTTGAATAATTCTTTTTGTGTTGAATAGCGCATTTATCGAGGATGGCTATAGGCCATAAAACATTACGCTACAACCAATAGGAGCTGAGCAGAGCGTGTGAAACCGCGCGGAAGTAGCTAGTATTAAATAAATATACAAGACTTTATAACATTATTAGTGAAACATTTCTCAAATCCTGAATTTGTGACTGTCTGGCGCACGAGTCTGTTTAAGAAGCACTAGTTAAGTATTTAATATAACATAACATAACATCACGCCTTTTTATCCCCGAAGGGGAAGGCAGAGGTGCACATTATGCCACTGTACAATGTAACACCTACTTTTCACTATTTATGTTCTGAGTCCCATGTAATAGAGGGTGAGCCTATTTCAATATACCGGGCACAATTCCAGACTCCGTGCTTCTACTGAGTTTTTTTTTAAAAATCCAGTAGTACTTTGCCCGACCCGGGAATCGAACCCGAGACTCCTTGCCCGGCAGTCGCACTTGTGACCACTCGGCCAACGAGGCAGTCGTATATTATGTTCTATAATGATATTGAGACTTGTATCAATAACTTCTTTTAAAAGTTAGGAGATGGTGAAATACTTATACATGTATCATGATCAATACAGACATTGATTACACATAGTATAATTAAGCATTTTCATGATGAGAGCGAATCTGCACAATGAATGTATCTTAATTCAACCTCTTTAGTCTCTATACAAATCCATACTAATTTCTTAAAATGAAATGAACTGAAATTTTAGCGGTCTTTGAAAGATGAAAAACGTGAAGGAAGATTGAAGGTAACAAATACATTTTTTGAGCAAATCCATATAAGAAGATACTGAATTCGGTTATGAACAAAACCAAAAGAGTTTATTTGTAAAACTCCTTACTATAGAATTTGCATAGTTCGTTGAAACAGAGTTAAGTAAATCCAGATGTTATTTTGTTTTTCTTTAATAGGCTAAGAGAAAACTGAAAGAAAACAGACTGCCTCGTTGGCCGGGTGGTCTTAAGTGCGACTGTCGGGCAACGAGTCTTGGGTTCGATTCCCGGGCTGGGCAAAGTATAATTGGGTTTTTTACAAAAAAACTCAGTATATGGTAATAGGCTCACCTCCTATGACATGGGACTCATAACACAAATAGTTAAAAGTGGGTTTTACATTGTACAGTGGCTTTAAGTGCCGTAATGTGCACCTCTACTTCCTCACCATCTACCTCTTTAGGGATAAAAAGGTGTGATGTTATGCTAAGAGAAAACCTGTTAAAAGTTTTATAGGATTGAAAATCAAACAGACTTATTAAGTTACATTCATAATCTTAAGCAAACGATTGTCACCAACAAATTATAGTGTTGCCTATAAAAATGCCAAGGCCCTATAATTTTGACAAGTGATGTAATAATAAAATAAATACGTTTAATAGTCTGTATGTAGTGACAGCAACAATTAGGGTATTGTCACGCCGTCTGTCCGTCACGTACCCACGAACATCTAAATAGTCATTATAGGTCTATGGGTGGTATAAATATCATTTGTTTTTTTGGGATCATCACACATCTCAAGTGAGTCCTGGTGAGGATACAACAATAGAGATGAAGTGGTTTTTGGTAGGTGTTTAATCAATATTTCTTTTATTGCTTTGAAAAAGTGTTCGAAAGTGATTTTCAAGTGGATACATTTATATTATTTGTTTTTACTTCCAAAAGAACTAAAAATTAGTGATATTGGTTAAAGTTTGCTCATACTCAAGTAATAATACCTACAGTTAAAAGTGACTTTCAGTGATGTGATGCGTAAAATATAATATTCACCAACTGGCGACAACATCTTGAGTGCTTTTTGTAATATTTGCTTATTTAGTATGTTTTAATAAGAAAAACCTTTTCATTATTGTTTCAGATTACTCTGGCCATAGGCCTAGCGTCTTCTGATAAACTGGACCATACCTACCTTCCACCACCGGGTGCTCAATTTGCTGGAGGTATTCTTGGAAACCAAGATGCCCCACTGGAACCTCCTCATCATACGCATCCAGGATCAGGTCAAATCATTCCAGGACATGAACAACACCACCCAAGTTTGGGAGTAAATGGAGAACCAGTGAACTTTGGTGATAAGATCCCAAAAGTACCTTTCAATTACAACCAGGAAAATCTTCCAACTACGACCACTTCTTATGCGTTCTCTCAGACAACGACTTATCCACCCACCGAAGGTTTCAATCCCGCAAACCTACCTATAAATCCTGTGACTGGACTTCCAATTCTGGTGGATCAAGGAAACGTTCCCTTCGGATCCACCCAAGGGCAACAAAATACTCAGCAGTTGCCGGGAATTAATCAAGGTCAAACACCAGTTTATGGAACCAATTTACAACCTGGAGTTATTCCTCAAGGACCGAACACCATCAACTATAACCAGCCTGGTTTCAATCAACCTATAAACCAAATTTCAAGCCAATATCCAGGTCAAAATTTGGTTAATCCTGGTGCACAAATACCTGGATCTGTCAACCAATTCCGAGGTCAAAATCAAGGCCAACTACCTATTGGACAAGGTATTGTGCAACAGGGTCTTCTACCTACTGGAACTACTAATAAGCCATTCAATCAGTACCCAGTACAGAACTTGGGTAATAATGGAGGTGTTGTATCTATTCCTGGGGGTAACCAAGGCTTAGTTCAATATCCTAGTCAAGATGCAACTAACCAGGGATTGGTACCATCAACTGTTTCCCCAATTAATTCTCAATCAGGTGCCAATCAATATGGGGATAACTATGATGGATCTCAAGGACCACTTACCCAGGGTACTTACACTGGTAGGCCAATAAACGTAGGAGAACCTCAACCTACTCAAACGTCATACCAAAACCAGGGACCTTTTAATTCTGGTACTGAACACCCAAATGTATCAGGACCAAAAGGACAAGGGTCTTCCCCGTCTTACAACGGTATTACCAGCACTACTCCATTTCCAGCAATCCCATCTTCTACTTCTGGATATTCTTCTGTCAGACCAGTGTATCGCCCAGAAAGACCTCAAGCTGAAGCTGATAGAAACGCAGTGATTCTCAACTATGAAAATGTTCGTACTCCAAATGGTTACTTCTACAGCTTTGACACTTCCAATGGAATTCATGCTGATGAAAGTGGCATTGTTGATAATGGAACAAAGGCACAAGGATCGTATTCTTACATAGGTGATGATGGAAAGTTGTACAGCGTTTATTATACTGCTGATGAGAATGGATTCCAACCTCGCGGTGATCATCTACCAACTCCACCACCTGTTCCTGAAGCTATCCAGAGAGTTATCGAGCAAGCTGCAAAAGATGAAGCAGCTGGAATAGTCGATGATGGTGAGTTTTTAAAACGAATTACTTTTATGAAACTAAGAAACCTTATTTCTCGTGAGAATTTGATGGATGATAATATCTGTAATGAATTGTAATACAATGATGTTATCGTAGATCTTAGGTGATCAGTAATTATACAATTTATTCATCAAATTAATGCACTAATATGCAAATCAAATAAGTACAATTTAATAGTATTCTAGGTTAGGATTTTAGTGCGAAAGAATTGTCTGTCGTTGTGAAATTACACAACATTTTCGTTTTTTTTTCTTTTAAGTTAAAACCTATAACTTAAATTATGTTTTCTTTACAGGATCATACGATAAATTTAAGTATGGTGACGACAAATACCAAGGAATATCAAAACAACGTCGCCCACAAAACCAGGGCCCGAAAACATTTGGTGTGGTAAAACCTATTACTGGAATAAAAGACGTAGAATATGATGAAGGTATTTCACAAAATCAGTTCGATGATACCGTTCCAGTTAGTGGGGTTAAGAAAGGTTCTGATAATAACTTGCCAGTAAAACGTCCATCGTATAAAGATATTAACGAAAATGGCGTTGTAGACCAAGAAATCAAAAGAATTTCTGAAAATTCTGGTAAAACAATACAAGATTTTCATGAACATAGCAAGCCAGTTGAAAAACAAGGACCATTCAATCGAGGAAACAGTCAGAATAAGCAAGGAACTGCTAATGGTAGTCCGGTGTCAAATGGAAATAATATAGTTTTCAAAGATGTTGAGGATGAAATTGATAATAAAGATTCAACTGTTAACAATCAAGGTTTTTCAAGTCGTCGCCCAATATCTGATGGTGGAAAGGATGCTTTAGTAACGAAATATCCTGGAGCTAATGTAGATGTCACGACTTCCAACTACCCAAAAACTGAAAGTGACGGTTTCGTGGACAACGACAGTCAAACAATTGTTTCTAGTAAACCTGGCGCATTTGATGAATATGATGACAATAAAGATTTGGGATATGATAGTATCACAGGAGCTCCTATAGTTGGAGGTAAAAAACAAACATTAACTAAACGAATCAAGGTACCCGTAGACCGGGTTCAAACGACCAAAATGAAAATCTTAACTTACCAGGACAAAATGATGTTCAAAAAATGCCAAGACACCTTCAATTTCAGAATACATCGAAAACGCTGCTAAGCAACCAATTTCACAACAACAAACAACTCAACAAGGCTCTGGCTATCATTACCAGCAACCAAGTACGACATTTGAACAAAATACATTTCCAACTCGTTTTAGACCTCAAGAAATACCTACAACAATAAAACCCGATCAGCGTAATACTGAATATATTGAAGGAACCACTCGGAAACCTTTTATGACCCCGAACGTATACGAACAAAATGAAAAAGCCAGTCCATCAACAACAAGAAAGCCTTTCACGACTAAAGGTGTAACATCACCCTCTGAAAATGCATACACTGATTATAAGGACGATGACTATGCCACTGATCTAGATATTGATGACGAGAGAAATAGTTCTACCAAAATGCCTGTTGAAAAATCTGGTATCACTCGACCGTACGAAACAACTCGAAAGGGTTCAAGACCTCAATATGGTCAGAATGATCGAAAATCAGGAATTAGTCAAAAGCAGCCGTCAAAACCTGGTCATAAGACAGGAAATACAGAAGCTGTAGCTCCAGGATATACGTATGGACCAACTACTTCTACACCGACACACCATTCTCGATTCGGAACTACTGAATCTCCTCAAAATACAAGACTCGACGGTCGTAGACCATCAAGCCCTAATTTTGAAGCAACAACGGCTGTTGGCACGCCTGTCACGCAGTCATCTTTAGGTCAAACGGCACCAAACTATAAATATCAATCAACTGACCCCAATTCCAAATACTTTGATAGTAATGTAGTATCTGGTTATCCAACTTCTCGATATACCGCGGGTCTTGGCTCAACATCTGGTACCCCTGCAGTATCTATACCATTCAGACCTTCTCAAGGTTACTCAACAACATCAAGTTCGCCAATTTCTGGATATCAACCAGGATCTGGAGTCCAATTTCCAGTAGGGCCTACTGGATCACCTGTACCTACTCAAGATAATGTCTTCCATACTGGTTATCACTATGGACCACCTAAATCAGGAAATCCTTCATTTGGTCACGATGCTGGATTTTTCACTCCAACGGACAGTTCTAGAGTCTCCCCAACTTCACCAACTGTTACATACCAAACTACTTTCCAAGGTCCTGGAGAGTTTCCAAGTACTACATCAAGACCTTCTGTTGGAGGAAGACAAGACAACCTTATTCCATCTTACCAAGGTTCTACCACATCACCGCTACGGGATCATCAAGGTAATTTCCAAAATCAACCATCCACTCCTGGCTATTCCACTACTATAATGTCTTCTACTCCAGGAAGAAAAACTACTTATGACTACCCAGGATCACCTATTACTTATAAAGATACGACTGGATATGAATATGGACCTTCCAGGCCTACTTATTCGACTACTAACTCACCATCAACAATTGGAACAACTCCCGCTCCTTACAATCCAACTGGAGCTACCATTCCATCTCAAGGATCAACAACTTATCGTCCTGTATTCCAGAATACAGAAGATTTGTATGTAGGTGGACCTGTTGATGGGTTCGGAAGACCAATACCAACCAATCAGGGATCTAATACAGGATTTACTTACCCAACTCAAAGCCCAATAGGGTCTTACAATGGACCGAATTTTGGGGGCAATCAACCTTCTACTTCATACCCTGGAGAACAGCCCAGGGTCATCGGCGAAGATTTTAGCGGTCCCAAACAACCTCAGAGGTTTGACCCTAAAACTGGTTATCATTACAAATGATTGACTAACTACGAAGATATTTATTCTGTTAATTTAAATGAGCAATGTTAAAAATTAATAAAGAGATTTATTTTATTTAACTATTGGTTTTCATTTTATTATTTACTAAGTAACAGATTCGTTAAATCACATAGTAAGAAAAATCGATATTTAAAAGTACACTTTGAGAGAAAAACCATTTAGCAAGTCATTTGTAGTTGTTTTAATTTATTAGTATTTTGAAAATTGTAAAATACTTTAACAACAATTTGAAACGAATACAGTGTGTTTGAGAGTCCAGGGTAATATTAATAATTTCAATTACTTTTAGATAAGATGTTATAATAAAAGAATAAAATAAAGATTTGTTGACGGATAGAACACATGTATGAAAACTGACTTTTTAATGACTTTTTAATTCGAAGAAAAAACAAAAGATACAGAATTTGGAACATAAAAAATTAAAATAATAAACTTCATAAATGAGGTTACGCAAAAGAGTTTTTGCTCCAACACAGTGCAATAAGGTCAACCAAAAACAGTAAAATGGTCCAAACAGAATTTAAATTAGAACATTAATCATCGAACTCATTCAAGGGGATCGTCTTACAGTTTCCTATATTATTACGGTTACTTCACATATAAGTAAATACGTAATTACTCCATCCTAAATGTCAAGACCAAAATTATCTAGATCACCATTTTACCCACACACTGTTTATAACAACATAGGTACCCACTGCATACATTAAAAAATGTATTTAATTTACATATACAGAACATTCAAATTACATAAGCCATATGTATTGAACTGAAATCTAGTCACGATTAATTAATAAATGGATCCTTTTAATGAAGATTCTTTTATACTAAAAGAATGTAGCAATTTAATGCTAGATGGTGCAATTTCAAACAAGTTAAATGCAAATATTAATACTATTTAGTATTATTTACCAATGACCCATTTTAATAGGCTTATATTATATTACTCTCAATTAGATGAGACGCTAGCTGCTTCGTTGGCCGAGTGGTCAACCAAAAAAAAAATCTCAGTATTAGCACGAAGTTTGGATTTGTGCCCGGTATATGGCAATAGGCTCACCCACTATTACATGGGACTCATAACATAAATAGTGAAAAGTGGGTGTTACATCGTAGAATGGCATAATGTGCACATCTGCATACCCTTTCGAGGATAAAAAGCGTGATGTTATGTAGACGAGACGCATATCATAATATAACTGATTAAAAATGGATGTTAAATTGCATAATTTATTTACATGTATAATATAATAATGATGTGCATATCTATCAGTCTATATACTCCCTTTTGTAAATAGGAGCGTGACGTTATCTTGTTATGTCACTTTAAGAATAAAAAGATTGAGTTCCTACATTTCCTGTAACAGAATTTTAACTTCAGTTTAATCATCTCTTTAGTAGTGTAGTAAAGGGCTAAAAGCTCCATCTACGCTTGAACGAGTTAAACGAATACTCGTTCTCAGCTTGGCTTTTAAGTACACGAAGTAGATTCGTGTTGCAATCCGAGGACAGATGGCGTGATTCATTGTATTCAAATCTTGGTTAAAAAAGCTTCATATGTTTCTCGTCACATAATTGTTACGAAAAATATTGTTTTTATTGCATTCTGCTTTCTCATTCTTTAGATGATAATAAAAGGCAATTTTCTTTTATTACCTACTTTTCGTCAATGAAAACCTCTTTAATTATAAGCAATGTTATCTAGTTCAGACTGCCTCGTTGGCCGAGTGGTCACAAGTGTGACTGCCGGGCAAGGGGTCTCGAGTTCGATTCCCGGGTCGGGCAAAGTATTAAAGGGTTTTTACAAAAACCTCAGTAGTACCAAGGAGTCTGGAATTGTGCCCGGTATATGGCAATAGGCTCATAACATAAATAGTGAAAAGTGGGTGTTACATTGTACAGTGGCATAATGTGCACCTCTGCCTACCCCTTCGGGGAAAAAAGGCGTGATGTTTTTGTTATCTAGTTCTTAGATCCTGAAATATTGCTCCATTAAAAATAGTATGACGTACAACTAATATGGGGCAAACAAGCAAAAGTTTAGATACCTACTTATGGGTACAGCAGCATCAAAGAAGTTATATTTGCATTGCCGGTCTCTCGAAAAGTAGTAGATTACGTTCTTTAAGATTTGAAGTGTGTTATTACCGTGTTAGTACGAAAATACCATTGGTGACTGTGATATTTAATTGCACAGTTTTATTAAGTGGGGCAGATGTTTTTATAGATAAAACCTCTTTAGCTGAAAAATTCATACATTTCACCTTTAATTTCATTTCTCTCAATTCCCCTTCTTTTCTATTTTCATACAGACAATTCATCATCACCATAAACAAACAAAGCTAGCAAATTGCGTGTGAAATTCCACCACAGAGGCTGCATATGAATATTAACAAAAAACACACGTTAGGTCAGAGGATATTGCTACAAAATGATACCCTAGAACATTTAGCAATAGATCTATTGTTCTAAATAAAGCAAACAATAAATTGATCGTCGCATTACTGATGTGTTATCGTGAGAAAACCTACACGTTTATTATAAACAGCGGTCGTGTGTGAGAATGATTGCAGCGCCACCTGTGAGTCGGGGCGTGAGTTTGTATCCCACGTTTAGCCTTTCACTGCGTCCTGTAGTTATGGCTTTGGGGTTTGATTTTGAAATTGTCTCCAGCTTTGAAGTGAATTTGTAGGCGAGGCTGTTAAATTTTAACATAAATCATATTCTCTATTATTGTAGATACGTGTAACATTTGTTTGTAATACTTGGTTTACCCCAAGTACTTCAAAAGGTTTGGATAAAGATCCTGTCTTGCACATGTTGAACTGGTCCCATTTCACCACAGACATAGGACATGAACATGTATCCATTACTTCCTACTTATAGAATAACACATGTCACTTGTATTTTAGCGGGTGAAATAATAGAATAGCACATGTCACTTGGTTCTAGCGAGTGAAATAAAGTTTTTTCTTTATTTATTTATAAATACAATTGGGATTATGACAGGGTATGAAAATTAAAAATCTAATTAGTCCGTAAGTTAGGTAATGAAAAAATATTAGACACGTATTTTTTATTTGGTCGTGTAATAAAACAATACTTCGATAAAACGAATCAAAGTTTAGGAGTGGGGGCTAAAACGTCATTTCTACGTATAAAATGTACACAGAAGTGACGTCACGCGACATTTCAAATCAATATATCGTCGAAAGTATTCGTTTCTGTAAGAAAATAAAAAATACGTGTCTAATGATTTAAAATAATATACCAGACGGACATTAAAATAAAAATTAGGCATCTACCCTATTCTTACTTTTTGTTCCATCAAATGTCGAATGCAGTATGTCATTGTAAAGTTTTTACTAAAACTATTTCTGCAACCTACCACTTTAAGTAGCACTTATGAACAAAATGGACATTAAACACGCTACCGACTAATAATAATAACGTTTGACTATGAAACGATTAAGTAATAGAAGCCTATTAAAATAACGATTACTTAATAACTAATTTTGTTCAAAATGTACAAATCATAATAGTACTAGAAGCGCCCGTGACTTCGTTTGTACCAAAAATAATGCATCCGATAAAAAATTAGAAAAAAACGGTTTATATTTTTTTTCCTTTTTTTGGGGGGGAGGAATCATTGCTCCCGTCTGGGTGAGGCGTGAGGGAGTGTCAGACTCTTACGAACTAAAAACCACCTCGTCCTTCTCCTGCACGTATAGCCGGACCGCCCCGTTTCTTCTCCTGCACCTTATTTTTCCCTTAATGCACCTTTGACTCGTTTGGTTTTATTGGTGTTGATGAACACCCATAAAACCAAACCACCCGGTGTTGATCGCTAACCATAAGATAATCCGTCTGCTTGTTTACATCCAGTTGTATAAAAAATAGAAATGTCCAATGTATCAGAAAAACCCAAAGCATTTTTTTAATTACACACAAACTAATGAAGCATTTTTATAAAATACACAGGGTCATCCTATGGCAATTATATATTTTTCAAGAATTATAAGTTTATAGCTGCATTATTTCCAAACTGACTGATGACCGCACGGTTGACTCGGTGGCTGGGTAACTGGCTGCCGCGTAACGTGTCACGGGTTTGATTAGCGCACGGAACAAGTCATTGTGTCATCCACAGAATGAAAAATCCACAGAAAAAGAAAAAGAGTAACCTATGGAGTTTCTTGCTCGTTCTTCTCCATAGGAATACACCTTAAAATGAGCAAATAGCTTCACTTTTAATTTTTTTTGTTGACGTTCAAAAGTGCCTTTCTGGCCTAATTGAAATAAAATGATTTTGACTTTGACAGATTATTGTTTCTAGTCTGGGTGTCATGTATGTGAACTTATATGTTTGTAATCGCACCCACGACACAGGAGAAAATCCTAATCCTAATGAGGGACGTTTTTTTTAAAAAAAAAACTACAACAAAAGCAACTTTCAACCTACCTTTGAATAAATTTACGGAGCCGCGGTGAACCTAACGGGTTACCGGGACTCCGGCTCAAAGTGCTTAAAGCTCATAAGTAGGAACAGGGTGATTTTTAGTCAGTAAGAGGCCCTTAAAAAACCACCTTTAAATTAATTGTACAAAAATATCAGACTACAGACAGACACATAGACAAATATACTTATTTTTATATACGTATAGATTTAACGAGCACGCATCTTTAATTTGAACAAAATCATGCTATACAATTGTACCTACGTAATGTTTTTTTGTTTGTCGGACTTTTTATTCGAGGTTCGACTAATGGCTGCGGGTCAGTGAAGATCCGGTTCCTTTGATGTTGGGTCCAAGGTTAAGGATAGGATGCTTTGTTTTTGTTAAAGGGTCGAATTACGGTCGTCTTAAATGTGTGGCGACAAATGGATGACGTCACAAAAATACTACATCGCACATGTAAAGTTAACATGTAAATTAACACGGGTAGAAAATCCCAACGAACAACTATTGAGCAGAAAT